ATTGAAATTTACGAAGTGAAACCTTCATTCTTAGATCTTTTTTCTTTCTTCTTGTTTCTTTCCTGTGCTTCCAAAATTGTTATAAAAGAACTGTGAATTTGACAAACATGTAAGGTAGATTAGATGATATCAAAAAAGATCTGATTAATAAAACTAATAAAACTCTTACCTTTGCTTAACGTTTTGCTACTGCCTTAACTTGTGCCAAATTAAATCTCGCCTCTCTTTTAGGTAGTGTTACATTATGCTACGTCTTGGATTTCTTAACGATGCTGTCACGCTATTTCTTTTGTTTGGAGGTAGAGTTGTTGGCCTATGACAATATTAAAAGAGACTGTAAACAATTTCAAGAGTCGATTAAATTAAGAAGGTGACAAAAAAAACACAAAGAAAACACAGAGAACAAAGAAACTATTACTCATATTATTCATGATGATAAGAACTTAAATTCACAAGAAGTATTAATGTCTGAAGATGATTCATAGACCTTACAAGAGGGTGATCTTATGGAGGATAAAGAGGAGGAATCCTAACAGAAATTTTGGAAAAAGACAAGAATGCATTACCTGATGTAGTCCTGAGGCCTACTACAGATAATTATTCCAGAGATAGGACAGTAGTTGAGAATAGAGCCGAGACTGTATTGAAAGAGATAGAGACAGTCATACAGAATTCCCAACAAGACCCAAAAAATGAAGACTTTATAATCGTTACAAGGAAAAAAGGGAAAAAAAAGAAGATAGACAAGAAAATAGATATTGTGTTGAATACAAATAGATACAAGAAAGCTAGAACATTCTAGGGTTATTCCTATTAATCAAGTTATAAAATCAAATATAATGATAATCAAAATTGCTACACTAAATGTTAAAAGACTAAACAATAGAAACAAATATCAGGAAACTCTAACATTTTTAAAAACGTATAAACAAAACATAGTTATGTTACAAGAAACCAACCTGAATGATACTAACACAAGAGTATTTATAAGATAACAATAGCTATATGATTCTTTTTGGACTTCTAAAACAGCCATTTTGGCAGGCAATAAAGACATTAGATTCGAGGACGTTCAAGACTTATTAGAAGGCAGAGTGATCACAGCATCATTCAAATTTAACCAAACATCATTTAAAATTACAAATGTATATACTCCACCCAACATAGAGGACAGATACAATTTCTTAAAAATTGGTCTCCCCATATTGACGAGAACAGAATAAACATTATAGCAGGGATTTCAACACCACAATGAATTCAGAAATCAACAGAATCAGTAAGACTGCCTCATATAGTGACCCAACCAGGAAATTACTCGAAGAAAAAACAAGAAGTCTCACAGATGTCACTGAAATTATTGAAGAAAAACCATTTTTAATCTATTTTCAAAAAGTTCAAGGTAATCGTAACATAGCTACGAAACTAGACTATATTTTTGTGAATGATAATTATATACAACACTGTAAAGAGATCAGAACTCTATTAAGCAACTCTGACCACCTCTTAGTAGAAACCACACTCAGACTCTCTCGAAATGAAATAACATGCTCTCCATATTGGAAAATTAATAAAAAAAGTCTTTATCATAAAAAAATACGAAAGGAAATAACTGAAGAATTAGGAAGTGGCGCTAACTCTATTGACTGGGACTTCTAGAAAACCTGCCTACAATCTATAATAAGAGCCTATAAACCCTCTGTGGCACCAGAGAACCAAATACAAAAACTGAATAAAGACTAACAAACCTAAGGGCTAAAATAGCATATGATTCGGATCGAATAGACTTAAAATCTACAGAAAGTCAGCTAGAAACACAATTACAAGAGGAGCTAACAAACTTAGCAGAAAAATAGCAAATAAGGTTCAAGGCACAATAGATAGAGCAGGGGGAAAAATCAACAAAATACTTCTTCACTAAATATAAAAAGAAGTATGCTCTCTCGGCTACAATGAAAATTCAGAACCCAGATACCCCAGAGACAAAAGATCTGCTAGACATTCTTCAGTATGTCAGAGAGTTTTATGAAAAACTATATAAATCTGAACAAGTAAATATAGAAGCAATTGGAAAACTTACAGAAGACCTTCCCCAGGTTTTAGATCAACAGAATCGTTTGCTAATGAAAGATATTACTCAGGAAGAAATAATCACAGTGATTAAACAGCTGCTAAATAACAAAGCCCCAAGTATAGATAGACTTACGTATGAATTTTATAAGATCATAATTGAGGAATTAGCTCTAGTTCTAGAAAAAATCTTTAATCAGGTCTTACACACAGAGCAAATACCTAAGTCTTGGTGCATGAATGTTATAACTTTGATACCAAAAAAAATAGAGAACTTTAAAGAGATGGGAAATTGGAGACCCATTTTCTTAATTAACTGTGATGCAAAGATATATATGAAAATTATCGCCAATAGGTTAGGCTCTATATGCAAACATATAATTGGGAATTACCAACAAGAGTTCATACCAGGAAAGTCAATTCAAGATATAGCATTCGACATAATCTCCATAATGTATAACCAACTGAACTAAACAAAAGAACAATGGATGATTTTTGTTGACCAGAAAAAAGCCTTTGATCGGGTCAATCATATATTCTTACAAAGAGTATTGGAAAACATGAACTTTGACCAAAAATTTGTCAAACAAGTTGTGGATCTATTTGCAACTCAGAAAGCTCATATAGTTGATACAGGCCTTCTGTCAACTCCTTTTCGAATAGAGAGAAGAGTATGACAAGGAGACCCATTGTCTCCATTATTGTACATAATAGCCTTCGAGCTATTCTTATGATCACTAAACCAAAAGCTAACTAGGATTAACATAAAAGGCTGCAATTTCAAAACTGCTGCATATGCAGATGACTTAACAATAGGAATAGGATTAGTAGATGACTGGACAATGTTCAAAACACTAATAAACACTTACGAAGCTGCTTCAAATGCCCATGTAAATAAAAACAAGTCAATCTTTGTTCCACTTACCAATAAAGCCCATACAAT